CAATTCATTTCATGCAATTATAAGGGCTTTCTTTAGTGAATTTTCACCCTTGACTAGTAGGAAACACACATGCACATGGAGCAGACTATACTGCGTATCAAGAACAAAGGTGCCTTTCAGAACAACATGTGATTTCTAACCCCTGCCTCCCGTGCTGGCAACTGCCTTGTCCTCCCCTCTGAGGCACAAATGCAAATTCCACGCAACCTCAAACCGCTCCTCCCTGCACAAAGCTCAAGGATGAGGTCGCTCCTGACCTGCAGAGGGTGCTGCGGAATCAGGGATCGCGCGGACCCCGGAACATTAATATGGATGGCCCAATGCTGGAGAAGGCTAAGGAGCTGAATGGACCTGTTTTACAGTCCGACGTGCACCTGACCTTTAAGAGCAAGGATGAAAGCAATTTCATTTTACACGTGGCAGCTTGTCAATCAAGCAAATCGATGGAGGAGCTTAAAGTGCGCCTGAAAAGCGAAGCGAATGGAAATTGAACTGTCCCACCCACATCCCTGGCATGTCAATTTGTTGACACTGCAGCCTTCAGAATGAATTAAGGCCTGCGTAGGTTGGAGCTGAGGTTCACACCCTCCCTCCCGGGCTCCTGGCAGCACCCGAACAAAGGGGCAGGGTAGACTGTGTGCGATACCCTGACCCACGTCGGGAACGCCGGCACGGATCGGCAGCGCCGGCCCGGCCTCAGCTCTGCTCATCACAGCTCCCACCGGCGTCCCTGAGGACACGCGGCTCGGCGGGAAGGAAAAAGCAGGGGCAAAAACCAGGGGATAATTCAAGAGGTTTAAGGAATACCAGCTGCTCCTCTTAAAATCACACTGGCCGGGTCTGGCACTCATTTGAGGCAAATTATTCACGTTTCCAGCAGAAGGAAAATGACTTTTGGGGTATTCAGGAGAGAAGCACATTGCAGCGGTGTGTAATAAACTCATCAAAACAGATCTGCTACTAAAACTAACAATCCTAGCCAACTGTTTGGCAACGCTGGGAGATCACGCTTTGGAAGCGAGGAAAATGGCCACAGGCACAAGACTCCGCCTGGAAGTGATTCCACAAAAACGGATCTGCATACTAAAGCCTAGGGATCGTGAAGGAAAAGACCAACCATTTAGACATGAGGTCTTGGAAGAAATTCAAGGCTGCTCAAAGATGACCAAATCCCCAGCACGCAACTTTGTGGATTGGAAAAAAAAATGAGATGCAAAAATGATACTGAAAGAGCTCAAATCCTCGACTTGTCATTGCGACCAATGGTAATTTGTGCTTAAAAACAGATGTGCCAAGGTAGTATCTCAATGCTCACGATTGGGTTAGGCACTAAGGGAAAATGCACAGATGGCCAGTTTGGTGACAAATGCACAGGGAGCAGGAGGGGAGCGTGCAAGTGTGTCGAGCTGCCCTAGCACGCGGCAAACCAGCGCGAGGACTCGGCGCCCGGCTCCCGGAGCGCCCGACGGCCTCTGCGGGGTAACAAAGCCTCCCTCGATGGGAACATTTTTCTACCTGAGATTTCATCTGCGCAGCCTTTTCTGGGTCAACCGCCAGGACGTGCTGGTAGTGGCGGATGGTGTGCAGGCGGTCCTTGTTCTCGGCGCGGACGTAGCGCTTCAGAGCCTGCAGGATGCGGTGGGGCTGCGGGACAGCACGGTTCAAAAGGAGCAGAGTCAAAAACCACAGCTGGAAGAGGGCACTCGAGGGGTGATTCAGCTTTGCAAGCAGGTAGATCAAGCCCTTGCGTTAAGGGCTTCAGATACTCGCTTTTTAGCCAGCTCTGTTCAGCTCGGAACACGATGTATCGTGCACACTGAAGAGCTTTTCAACCCAACAGCAAGTACAAGAACAGCAGCAGAAGCAAACGGCACGGGCTGCCCAGGGCTACCCGCTACAAAACATCCTCCCCAAGGGACTTACCCGGGGTGGATCGGCCTGCAGGGCAGCCAGGTAGTTCTCCAGGGCGATCCGGCGGCGATCGTTCAGCATCGCTTCCACCCGGGCCAGGTGAGTTTCCACCAGCTGCTGCTTCTCACTCGCGGCCTCTTTTTCCAGAGATTTAACCATCGCCTGGAAGTGCTGTAGGGAAGAAACACAGGTCTCTAGGAAAGGCTGCATTTTTCATGGGGGCTTATTCACCGATTGCCCTAGACGCCTGGCCCACACTGCATGTTGTAGGGTTTTATGGTAAGAGAGAAAGGCCAGGAACACACTTGGATGCACATTTTGTATTTGCAATCTAAACAGCGGCAATTTGCCTTTCAAACTTCCTTCACCACCAGTTTCAAAGGTCTGTGAAGAGGTCACAGGGCCGTGCAGATCAAAGCTCCAGTTCTGCAGTCAGGAAATCCAGAACTTCCAGCTGAACAAATGACATGACATCAAATCTTCCCCTCAATCCTGTACAGCAGGAACAAGGTAGATCCTCCACCCTAGAGCCGCTGACCCGATTAAGCAGAAGTCTGCAAAGGTAAGGGGCTTGCACAGGATACATTCGGATCAAATCTCCATATGTCCTATTAGAAAGGTCATTAGCAGCATCTCCAAGTGGAGCAGAACAGTCCAGTAAATGTTAGATTGCAGCATAGATGATGGAAAACTATTTTGGACTTGAGCAGAATTGAAACAGTGGTTTATGACTGAAAAAAAAGAAAAAAGGGAGAGAATATCGTGTTCCAGGATGGAAAAGCTGGAGTCAATCGCTCACGTGTATATTGGTTTGAGGGAATTTCCTACAGTTGCGACTGCCAGAAGCGCCTGCCCTTCACAACCCCATACCCTGGTTACCCCTGATTAACTCCGTGGTCTATCCCAATGCTTCTCATAAGGCAGAGGACTGGCATTTTGGCAGCAAATCAGCTTCGTCTGCTGTCAAAACGGTTTTCAGTAACTCTGCCCAAACAGGAAGCGGGTGGCCAGAGAAACTGAACCGGGTTGCGAGGCCAATTTTTAGCGCAGAACAGGCCAAAGGTCTAAGGTTACAATTTGGCTCTGTTGTCACTATGCTTGCAGGGTGGGTTGGGTTCCTATTACTGGCCTTGGGATAGGACCTGGCACGACATCAGATCATCTCCAGCTTCGGGAATAAAACGTGCAATTTGAGTCGGATCTCTGAGAGGCGACTGTCGACGGAACAAAAAAGCTATTTTTCCATCTCAGTCTGCTTTTGGCTTTGAATACGAGCAGCTCTCGTCCAGTTTGCAGAGACAAGGAGGACAAACGCCGGCAACTTTGCTCTTTAGGTTCTTCAACCCTTACCTGAATGAGAGTCTGTCTTTCTGCCTTGGGGAGATTCTTGGCTTGGTGTTCTGCTTCCTCCCATTCCTTTTTCACCTGAATAAGGAAAGCAGAGCATATTACAACACGACACACAGTTATGTCTGATTTGGGGGACTATTTTGCCTTTACAGGCAGATCCTTGCACAGCACAGCTAGGTGCTGCAGGCACCAAAGAGCTGCTGCAGGGCTTCAACTTACAGCCCTTCTGAGCAGCAAGCTGAGTGTCCCCAGCGATTTCCCTTCCAACATTTGAGATAAATCCAAGCTCACCCGGTCCATGCGGTTGTGGTGCCTGACCTCCAGCTGCTCCTTGGCTTTTTGGAAGCGGGCGTGCTCGTTGTCATCAGCTGGGGTTTCAAAGTAGACATCTACATCATCGGTAGGCACTGAAAGAGAAGGTACAGGTTAAAAAAGAACTTCAGAAAACTCTGATCCGGGATCAGAAAGGACAGGTTGGGGAGAGGAATCTTGGTGCCTGCAGAATTAACAATCTGGCAGGCTTAATTTATGAACTGCCACCTACCAAGAGCCCATTTTGGAATCTTTCTGCTGCCAATTGACTGCACAACATCAGCTAGTTACATCATCCCCAATACAGAGCAGTGCACTGCGGCACCCAGCACCTGTTCAGCCTGCTCATTCCTCCTGAGAGCAGCAGTATTCAGCTCCAGCAGAATGCCTTGGACTGCAGAATCGAGTGCTCGTTCCCTCTTCCCTTTCACATGGGCTTTGGATAGTTTAAATGACATTTTGTGCATTAGCTGCTCACTGACAAGCTGGCTCCAGACATCATTAATATGATTAGGGAGCTTGACAGTAAATCTGCACAAAACACTACCCAGTATTTTACACTTCAAACCTACCTTCCCTACCAGATGCACCATACAGGAGTAATGGGCAATGATATTAGACAAGACAGCAACAGAAGGAGGCTCAGCGAGACAAATTCACTTGTCCAATAAACTGGAAGGTTTGTATCTTTAAAACATTCAAATGCAGCACAAAGAGCAATAAAATCGCACAACTGACGGCTTCAGGTGCCTGCAAAATCCGTGACAGAGCCTCTGAGCCACGTTTCTGCGCTGCAGTTTTAGGAATTTGGCATCCCAGAGCCCGTTCAGAGAATCTGTGGCAAATCCAGTGCACTCCACCGGTGCAAGTGGAACACAGCGGGGTCAGAGGAGGAAACTTGTGGGAACTCTTCAACCATTTTAACCCTTTGGGCACGAGAACCCTCCAACACCTCGCTATGAGCTTCCGACAGAGGAATACCCTGCGCCAACACAGCGTGAACACAGGGTGAAAATTCAATTCCAGCACGCACCAAATCCACAGGCCTTCACTCTGACTGAGGAGTGAAGAGGGGGAAGGAACTTTGAGGCAATGGCCACGCACAAAACGGGCATTATTTCTGCATGCAAGGGGCAAGGGCACATCAGCACCGTATTCTAGGCCTGCCCATGGCATTTCTGAACCACAGAAGTCCCTTCGCAGCCCTCAATCCCTCCGAAACAGGAGGAACTTTTGTATGGAAAGCGCCTGCCATCCGCATCTTTTCTCTCACCGCTTCAGTTAGATCAGCCCCATCTAAAGCACTTGCATGAAGCCCATTTTGTAAACAGGATTATGGCCGTGTAGTCAGCCTGCCAAGCCCCAGATAACACAAAAAGCCTTTCAAAGGGCTTTAATGGTAGCTGAAGTGGAAGTGCTGGAGTTCAACAATAAGATTAATACGGAGGTTAAAATGTTTTTGGTAGTTTTAGCATCTGACATAAAAGCCAGTGGAAACCGGTGCCAAAAACCTCAAGCTCTCAAAAATGCAAGGATCGAGTCAGGATTCATATTTCAAGCTCGGCTGAAAGCGGGAACCCGAATTCTGCAGGATTTTACTGACACTTTCCCAAAATACAATAGCAAGAAAAGGGTGATACCGGGAGAAAGGCGATTAGCAGCCTGCTTTTCAGGAGCCACTGGTCAAACATATGCAAGATAATGTGACTGGGGAGAGCCAGGGCTCCCTTCCCATAAATTTGGGAGCTGGTTAAGCAAATAAGTAAAGTATGTGTTTTCCTAACAAGAGCTTAGAGACAGGCTCTGGATCTGGAAGATGGTAACTAAGCCCTTGCTAAGAGCTGCGGGCCACCCAGGGCAGCGCATACACACGTTGAGAAGCCCCTTTTCCACCAGGGAAGCCAAACCTGGAGACCTCGAGAAGCAGAGACAAGAGGAGGCCGCGGCGAGAGGACACACAGAACTGCTGCAGACACCAAAAGGACAGGCTACACACGTGTCCTAGGCGAGGAGGAGACACCAGACAGACAGCGGCGAGCTGCAAAAGGGCCCGCGGGAGGCAGGACTTACTCATCTTTTTACACACAGCCATACAATACTCCTCTGACTCAAAATTGTTCCTGTTGCCTCCGCAGCCTCCGTATATAAAGCGGACGCACTTGCTCTTGCTGGGGTCGAAGTACCAGCGAGGCATCACGGCCCGGCAGGGCCCTGTCACGGCCTCCTGCGAGCAGACAGCTGTGTGGAGACGGGGGAGAACGTGAGCACCAGGCCTTACGGTTCGGCAGCAGCTCCAGCGAGCTAAATCCAAGGAAAGGAAGCCGAGAGGGCTGCCAAATGCCCTCGAGGAGCCTGTATGTATTAGCAACGGGCTGCAGAAAGGCAGGAAAACGTCCCCAAAACAGACAGCCCAAGCACGCTGTTCCGGGTGCGCTTCAATACCCGCAAGCCTCCCGTACATGTATGATCTAAGCCTCGTTTCAGCAGGGAAAATTATCTGCAGCATGCTGGCATTTTCCCAACAAGATGCAAGGACTGCTGGCAATGATTCAGTGAGCTGAAGCTAATTGAATTGCATTCCCTCTGCCCTCCTCCTTCCTCTGCAGGCACTTCCATACACAAAATATCGGGCGCCTCCGTTCCGCGGCGGCCCCGCACCATCGGCAGATGCTCTTAGCGATGGTTCTTGCCACCAGACAAAAGCTACAGGAAAACACTTGGATAAGAAACATGGGCCGACAGTGCTGGATCGCTTTCCGTGGTTAAACTCTGGCTGCTTAACACGGAGGCTGGAAAGCAGGGAGTGCACGTCCTCCTTAATATCAAATGGCCAGAAGCCACCTTGATGGCACCTTTTGAGAAGTTGTCTCACCAATTTTGGCTTCCTTTTTGTAATGGGGGTATAAAGCACCTAATCCAAGGTAATGGCTCCAAACTACAATTTTAAATTCACGGTGTACCCCAAATGTTTCCAAAATTGGTTCGTGCCGATACCGTTTTCTGACTCTACCTTCATGGAGGGGCTTGTTCAATGTACCAACCGCTGGGCTTTCTGCCAGCAAAACTGCTGTTAAGTGGAAACATACGGCCCACACCCTGGAGAGTCACTTTCAACACTCGAAACACGAGCACCATCAGCTTTCCTCTCTTTGCTAATTTATGTGGCAAATAAAACTTCCAAAGTGGCGTTTACGGACTCGATCAAAACCCTGTCGCCAACCGCCGCGCAACGAGAAGCGAGCGCCCCGCGCGCCGGAACGTGACTTACATTTCATGTCGCTGCTAACTTCTTTTTCGGAAAGACTCTTGTCATTGCTGGGCTCCGTGGGGGTCTCTTCGTTGTAATCGTCTGCTTTATAGCTATCGTAATAGTAATCGCGATCTTCTACCACATCCTCCTCCTCCTCTTCCGCCTCGTCCTCTTCATCCTCCTCCTCCTCCTCCTCCTCCACAGCTGTCCCTGTGAAATCTTCTACACCTGCCTCTGTAGGGAACTCGCTGAAGGGATACAGTTAAATTAGGAGGGTAAAATTAATGCTAATCACTTCTCAGCCAACCTTGGATGTACTAGAAAAACAATTCTCTTTTCATCTGTTGCAGAAACACAAGAAATGGGAAAACGGTTTCTTTTCGGTAAGTGAAAGTCTACAATATTTAGAGGACAGCAACCAGACAGTCATTTTGCCTGGCTGAGCATGAAAGGAGGGGCTGTTTAATTCTCCAGAAACAGGAGTACTGCAACTTGTCCTTGCATTCAGGACTCTCCTTTGGGGGCTTCAAAAAAACACAGAAATCTGCCTCAATCCTCACCCCAAAGGAGGCACCGCTTGATAGCGGCTTCGAAAACACGTTTTTTTAAGCTGCATGCCAGCAAGAAGCTTACCTTTTATAAAGGTCATAGTCTTCATCCTCGTCTTCATCCTCTTCCTCTTTGGAAGGCGCTTCCTCCGCAGCTTTGGTCTGAGGGCAGCACACGTACTCGGTGCCGTGGAACTGGTCCACCCCGCAGGGCAGCAGCATGCCGTAGCCGTGCAGGATCATCCCTTCCGTGAGACAGGCCTGCAAGAGGAGCACTGTTATGTCCAGGGGGATCTGAAACGGGTTCAGCACGCGCTGAACCCCGGGGAGGTCTCAAATCAGCCATCCAGTGGTTCCTGCTGCTGGTTTAGCAGATCCAGCCCCTAAAAAACGCTGAGTTTTCAGCCTGGTTAAGCTCTGGACCTCGTGCCAACAAGAGGGAGAAAGCGCTTCAAAGAAACAAACGCTCGTTGGCTCTTTGGACTGGTCATTTCATTAACCTTCCCCTCTCTCTATTGGAATAAGTGAAAAATTATTTAAATGGACTTTATGTCAAGATTATTGCAGCAGCTGAAGGAGAAAATCAATTGGATAAATCAAGCAAAAGTCAAATGTGAATTGCGAGTAGGCAGCACATTAATGCATTTCTCTTAACTAAAGAAATACTGGGTTTTATGGGCTTAGAGAAAAAAAAAGAAGTAAAAAAGGCTTTCGTATATGCATCAGATCTCTTTAGAGCTCTGCTTTGTTAAAGCATCGATGTAAAAATGTTCCAAATATTTCCAGAAAAATTCTCCAGCTGTGTTGAAGGAAAACGGTTTTTAACTTTGCTTTAATGTTTCAAGACATTAGCAAGTTTCTCCGTTAAAAGGTGATTCCTCTAGCACAGGCTTATTGAATCGAGACGGGATTTTGCTGAATTTTGAAATTCAATCCACAGGAAGCTCTAGCTGGCACTTCCTTCATCTCATCCTTCCTGCCACTGCCAGTGAAGTTAAACATTATGTTGCTGTTTCTACAGGACAACATGTAAATTTAGGCCGTATTACCCCCAACTGAAATGAGTGTGCAGAGAATTTGTAACATTTTTAGCAGCTAGATTAAAAAAAAAAGAGGGGTTGGATTTATTCTGAGAAGATAATCCACCTCTTATGTAAAACCTCCACTGAACAGTCACAATAAATTGCACGTTGCCCCCAAGCAAGCTCTCCAGCCCCAGTAAATCCCCAGCAGCAGCTGCAGCCCTGCAAAGTGGGCAAGAGAAACGGGAAACATCCTCTGCCCACTCTGGTCCACTCCCCTGGGATGGTTATGGGTTGGAGTAGCTTCCCAGAGACCTGATTACACTTCCGAGCTCCATCCTAGAACGTGATTTTTAGCAGGTTACCTCAGGGCAGCTCTTGGAGAGCAAAGAATAACTCAACTCCATGGGATTTTGAAGCCACTTTTGAAAAATTTTATGCTGCTTTTGGCCACGGCTCGGAGACTCCAGCATGGGAATAACAGACTCCAGAGATAAACCCTGGCATGCTCCAGTGCTGGAATAACTGAGTCCCAAATACTCTTGCTTGTCACAAGAGCTCCCTTACCTCCTTTGCTACCGTGTGCCAGTGCTGATAACTTTCACACACGTCCATCCGCTCCTTGTGGAAGAACCGGCACTTTTCGGGAACCAGCAGGACGTCGCTTACAAACTCACCCACTGCAAAGCAAGAAATAGCAGGTTTACTTCTCTTATTATACATGCACAACCTCAAAAAGGAGATAAAGTCAGTGCCAGGACTCCCCGAAGGACACTTAGGCCTTTAAAGGTTGGTGGAAGGTATATTATTCCCAATGGACACAGCCCAGCTCGGCAGCTATCTATGCAGATCTACTGAAAAAAGCTGTGCTACACAAAAGTGTGTTCATGCTGCCTGTTGCTGAAAGGCTCTGAAAATTTTTTCTATGCTGCAAATGTTATGTAGGTTTCCAGTATCTGGATACCCACGTGAGTCTTGTCTGCTTTCTTCTGATAGTATCCAGATGGCTTGAGTTGGGATCGGGTGCATCCCGTTCCTCAGCTCGGACGGGCCAAAGCAAAACACACAATGTTGGAAAACACGTAGCACAAAAAGCAGAGTAAAGCCAGAGTCAGCAAATACGTGTTCCAACATTCAGATAACCACAATCTGACCAGCAGGACTTAGCTTGGGATAAACGTTAAGGCCAGACTTTGCTTTTGAGGAAGGAGGAAGAGCCTCGGAGTTAATGGGATGAGCCATTTGGCCTAAATAGCCACCACAACCCTGCTCAGTGCTGACACCCATCAAATCCAGATCAGAACTGCATCCAGCATGAAAATCGCTTTCTGTTCTCAGCCCAGAAGTCCTACCAGACACTGCAACCAGGATCCACAATGTGGATATTCTCAGAGCTGCATTTTTTTTCTTTCTGTCTTTGAGATTTATATTGCACTTCCAGTAATTTTAAAATAGTTATTTAGGTATCAAATCATTTTAGGGTGTTTGAGGCGCCCACTTTTTTTGCGGTCCCTTAATAGGGCCCCAAAGGCCTATGAACATTTTTCTTGCACGCTGTATGCAAGTGAGAACAGAGTTTAGGGACAGATTATCTGAGGACAAGTTACAAGATGATGAGATGAACTGGCATTCCTCAGCGTCTCTAATAAAGTAATGAGTAACATATTGCTCATTTTTATTCCCTGACTTGCCTTTGAAATCAAAAACTGACCAAACTCTCAAATCAAGAGCCTGTGGTTCTGGGGCGCGAAGGCAGAAAGCTCAAACTGAGCAGAAACAACAATGAATAATAAACAAACAGCAGTGATAAAAACAGCTCTTTTCCAAAAGATGGAATCCTAGGAAGCTAAGATAAGGGACAGGGAAGGTTCTTGCAGTTCAGCTTGGAAATGAAAATCCATTCTACACTGCGCATTACTGGGAAACCTTTCCTCATCCATGACCAGCGTGGAAAAATAAAAATAAATAAGTAGAAGCCCTTTTCAGAGTCAGCCAGATGAGGTGTTTCCATGCCAGCTAACAGCGTAGCAGGGACTGTCAGCAGTTTGTCTGTTCACACCTCAGCAGGCTCAGCCCTGCTGCCATCATCCTATTGTTACCTTTATTTTACAGTTCAGTGAGAGCGCTGATGGGTTCTCCTCGCTGCCTTGGAAATACAAAAGAGCCTTCCTGATGGGGAGAGCCAAGGCTGATGAGGTCTGATAGCAAAATCCTACCTCAGATAGAGCTGCCTTCCTGAGGAGGGGAAGGCACAAGCAGCAACGGAGCCAAAAAGGGCTCCGAGTAATAAAAAGTCATGCTTTTCTCCCAAGCTGGACATCATCCCTTTCAAACAAGCAATTCGGTCTCATAAAAAGAGATGGAGAAGGTTTTTTAGGCACTCGGATCTGAAAAATGAACTGCGTTATAAGATGGCCTTGCAAGTGAAAGACGTTTGTGAGAGGAGACACCAATTAAGGCTTTCAGCAGCAAGTTTGGTGCTTATCAAATTTTAGCACGGTGTCACTAAAATCAGCTTAATTTTCAGCTGAAGAATGTGCTTGGAGAAGGATTATTTCCAAAAGAGATTACACGTTATAAGTCCACGGATCTTACTTTTATCCTTATTTCCATTGAAGCTCTCAGCATAATCAGCTGGGCTTTCTAGCTGCTCAAATCTGGTTTTCCATGTCTATAAAGGGAGAGTAGCACCTCCTTCCCACACTAAATTTCGTGCTTATGAAGTGCTTCATGATCCTGCAGGGAAAGGTGTTACGTGCAAGGGAATAAGCACCTCTGGATTTCTGTGTTCTCTTAAGTCAAATTGACTCATTGAGACAGCCCGAGACTTCTTCCAAATAGTTAAAGGAGTCTTTTCCAGCGGATAACTGGAAAAGGGATCCACCAGCTGAGACTCAGCTTACTACTACGGATGCATGGAATGCAGCACAGTGTTAGTCACAACCTTCAGGACAAAAGGGGAAGATAAATAAAATAATCACGTTGGCTCATTCAATTGGGTGCAGAGACACCCAAAAGTGCAATGAAATCTACCTCCCTTTACCTAATATTCTGCCACAGTTCAAAGTGGGGACATGGGATACAGCTGCAAGAAGCAGGGCCCCTTTGAAACAACGAGGTTTAAATATAGGCAGTTGAAACAGAATAGGAATCTCTTGCCAAGAGCAAAGCAGGAAGCCTGAACACACTGAGCATTTAAGTCTCCAAGGCAACAAAATATTAAAGCTCCACAAAAATAGGATCAGAGTATTAAATCCCAATGTCTTTGTGATACTCAAATACAATGGCCTTCAGGCTTTGAAGGCAGTTGCAGGGAGAAGGGGGATTTCTTTTTCACGCCAGGCACTGTTCTTCCAACACAGCTGCTAGCGAGCTGTCGATCCGCTGGAAGGAAGGCCGAGTTCCATCTTGTGGAAGCATAAACGTTTCGGTGGGAGTTGGACATGGAAATGGCAACCTGACACGAGAGAATAAATGGAATTGCCTCCTGGTTTCTTTGAGAGGGGACAATTCCAGGCTCCTCTGCCCTTGGAAGGAGGAATACGTGTCTACTCGGAGGACTCGGCATCGCAGCCCGCGCTCACCTAGGCACTTGTAGGGCACCACGATGTGAGTGTGGTCCTTGCACTGCTTCTTCCCTTTCTTACACCAGCTCTCGATGCTCACAGGTTGGTTGGCTTCCACGACGTTCGTGATCTGAAGGTCTGGATACATCTGTGTTTAAAAGACCCACAGGTATATCTCTATCCAGAGGAGGCTAGGAGAACACAAAGGGGCTCCTGACGAGCATTGAGGGGCCAATTCTACATGAAACCAAGCTTCACATTTGCACATGGACACATATTTGTCAAGCAAACACACACCTAACTCCTCAGGTTTCCTTACGTCTCCTTTTATAACATATTCACATGACCCCCATGGCCCACTCAAGTCAGGTTCTCCAGTCTAGACGCTGACTTATATTTAGGCTTCTGCTACGTGACCCAAACCCAGTCGCGGTCATATCAGCCTTGAAAAACTCTTCTCTAAGTTCTCCAGTAGGAACATGGCCTGCTCTATCACTTTCCTCTCTAAAAAAAAGCATTTCTTGTGGTATTTTACATGCTTGTCACCTCCAAGGAGTAAACAAACACACTTTTCAAGGTCAACGTGCTTCAGTATCTGGAGCGGGAGATTCAGGGTTTACAATAAGGCACGAAGAGCCTAAAAATACTGCCAACATTTAGATGAAAATATTTTCCTAACATCTTGGCTGATCTGGACATGTCTCCATGTCCGACTGGCTAGGACCTCGTGCGAAGCTGATGCCAAGTGAGAGCTACCTCCTAACTGCCTTTGCTCTTCAAAGGCAATAATCCAGCAGGGCAGTTTGGGGATCTGAGCTAGTCCAAAATTCTGTGTGAAGCTGATGCCAGGTGAGAGTTACCTCCTAACTGCCCTTGCTCCTCTCAGGCAATATTGCAATTTGGGGATCTGAGCTAGTCCAAAATTCCTCTCCTGTGGGGTTAGTTTTCTACCGAGTAGCTAAATTAGCATCCAGCTCCTTAGCAGCAGTGAAGAGGCAGCATCACATGGAGAGCAAAGATCCCAAAGGAGACGCCTCACCTCCTGGCAGTACTGCAGAATCTCCTCCTTCGTTCCAAAGCAGCTCTTGGTCCCCGAAGTGTCAGGCTCCCATTTCCCAGTCTGGATGTTCACGTGCATGTTGAGCTTCCCGCAGAACATGGCGATCTGCGGCTCGGCCACCGCGAACCCCGTCCCGGCGTTGGCTGCGAGCGCCTGCGAAGACAACAAAAAAAGCAAAATACGTTGATTGCTTTAGCTCACGGAAAGCAAAAAGGCTCTGATGACTTCTTAGAGAGCTGATAATAATAAAATAACAACTTCCCCCTGCATGAGGCCAGCTCAGAGCTTTTTGCCACATGTTTCCCCCAAAGCCTTCTAACATCTGGGATGGAAAGACCCAAGTTTCTCGCTCAGACCTACAAGCAAAGTTGACTTCTGCCGAAGGGAACAAACGTGGCTGTTGAACCGGGCTCTGCAGAGCCTGTTTTTGCCCATTCAGATGGATATTTGCACTGTCGGGGTTTCAGATGCAAATGCCAGAGGATTCCCACCGTGCAAAACCCCGCGCCACAGCCTGACATCCTGGTCAAACTCCAGACTGATCAATGCAAACGAGGTCAGGCTCCTTTCTGCAACGCTGCTGCCTGCCCCAAAGAAGAAAAGGGGATTCAATTAATTGCAGAGTCGCCGTTTTATCCCGGGCAGCCAACATCCTCTCCCTGTTTAACCGGCTTTCGGGGGCACGAAGCAGCTCAACTCCCAAATCTAAAGCTTTGCTAACGTTTAGGCAACTGAAAAGCGTTTCAATTGCTCCAGATAAAGCAGATGAGACACAGCGAGAGGCCTCAGGCCACCGCTGCCCCAAAGTCTCTTTTTTTGTGATAATGGCCAGAGCAGAGGCCACCAAACCTGCCTTCCTATTTACTCACAGCTCCTAATTGCAGGATTGTTGGGGGAAAACCCAAAAATCTCCATTTTAAGTGGCCCTTTCCTCCCCTCCCCTTTACACACAAAACCTCTGCCTGACGATAAGACTTTTCAACACTCAGAACAGGGGATCGTGCAGCACCAAACACACAGTGGGTGCCTGGGGAGTAAGCCCAGCTTAAGATATAGAAGGGGAGTAAGTCCAGCTTAAGATATAGAAAGAGAGATTTCTGCCTTAACGACAGAAAAAAACAGCCCTCTACTTGTTTTTTTTTTTTTAAAGGAACTACATTAAAAATAGCAGTTTGCCATAAAGAGAAATGTTAACTGCAAGCGGTTTCTATTTACTAACCCTTTCTGCCAGGAGAAGTTTGGGAGAGCAAATCTTAGCACGGATCACGAAGTAATGAAACATCAGGCTATATATATCAGAAAGCAGCATCCCTATTCGAGGCTCAAAAGACTCCCAAGTTCAAACCATTTTTTTTCCTTTCCTATGCTTTAACACGAGCTAAAATCTCTTGTTAAATCATCCTAATTTAGGAGACTCCTAAGGGGGAGTAGCCTTTCATGGACATCTTGGCGTTGAAGAAGTATCTGCCCTGAAGACCGGTATCGAGCCACAGTTTTGCTGCAAACACCGAATTTTATTTGCTGTCTCGGAAGGAAAAGGCAAAGGCAGAATGATCCTTTACAGCTCCACACACACACACTTTACAAAGACACGCACCGTAAAGCGCGTTTGCAACATTAACCCTAACAAGGAGCGCACGGCGCATCGCAAGGGAATTAAACGTGGGTTTGGACGTCACCGACGTGGCCTATCCTTGCCATTCCTTTTCTTCCAAGCCTAAGGAAGCCCGGGAAGCCGGAATGTCCATGAGTGCTCCGTGCGGAACGGAACCGGCCCTGTCCAAAGCTCCGGGGGATTTTTCCCGCCTCGACACCTCGCCTGAGGTGTCCCTCAAACTCCGGGGATTCCTCAAATAGCTGCCCTGGCTCCCGGCGCCTGCAGAACCCCCATTCAAGGCTGCACAAACAAGGCTAATTACTTGCTTGATTTCATCACTCGTAATCGCACGGAAATCTCCTCTCGAATCGCACGGCTGAGTACGTTAATGAACTTTGATACAGAGAAGTCAAACCTCTGACCTCGGCCCTGCGAGATAAGGGCTCGGAGGGATTTTCCGTCGCTCACTCGGCATTTTTGGCCCGTTCTAACTGCAATAAGTGAGCAGAGAACTAAGAACTTAAAATACAAGAGTGGAGGCCTCACCTTTGACTCTGCTACAAAAGAAAACCGCCCACAAGGAGCTTTAGAGCGCAGATATTTCCTATTTCCTCCTCAATGGCCTTTGGTGTAGGGGGAATGAATGGAGAGCACATTTTTCTGGGGAATTTCCCGGCCTTAAATGGAAGCAGCTACATGTGGTTAGGGAGCAACTAGCAAATCTCATAAAAAAAGTCAGTAGAAAGAGCTCAGTTCTGCACATCTTTGCTGAGCACTATTTTAATAGCTATTATCCTATTAATATCATCTAAAACATGAGGATGAGACAAATGTTATTTCGAAGGTGGGGGGAAAAAGGGGGGGAAAAAGGGTTATATAAACCATTCCTTTCCTCACTTGTACTTGAATTTATCAGATGCTTCGTGATAAACTCTGCTCTGCCTCCTGGTATAATTCTGTAACCCCGTTTGCTTTCCAAGAGCAAAAAAAGTATTTAATTCCATAAACACATAAATCTCCGGTCCGTTAATGTCAGTTAAATTCCTCACCCTGTCAGGCAGGGCCTGATTTACAGCCCCGAAACCCTGGAATTCAGACCTCTAAACCTTGCTGGTCTCTGATGGAAGTGTCTCTGCCCAAGTGTCCAGCCTGGGATTTACGACTAAGCTCTTCAAGCAGCAGGTCCGATGGGGGCAACCTGGTCAACCAGATCCGGATGCTCAATTGAAAAACAACTTCCAATCGGGATCACTATGGGGCTGAACCAACAGCCAGACTGGGCTGGATGGGGTGGCAAAGCTGTTCTTGCAGGGAACTTGCCAGCTTCCTTTTGCCAGAGGCAATTTCGATCCACGAAGCTGGGAAAGGGTGTGAGAAACAACAGCCTGGCAGAAGCAAACCCTCATTTTAGCCCATTTTGCCCTGCAAAAGTTGTTTGGAGCCTCTCAAGACTCTTGGAGCAAACGCGATCCTTTAAGCTCACACTTCCCTGTGAATTCCAGCCCCGGAGATCACAGGGTATGGAAATACCATCTGCTCCCCCCATCAAGGCAACACAGGTGGAAAAATACCCGTCCGTCTCACTTTACTTTTCCAGGATTTGGTAAACCTCCCTGCAACACATCTTTTGCAGCAGGCTGCCTTATTTAATGGAATGTTATTTGGGAAAAGTTTCTGCCGAGCTGCTGGGGACTCCGGGGTACAAAGGCGACCGGAGCTGCCCTTTAGCGAGGGAAAAAGGGGCTTGTCATATTTTGTAGAAAAAAATAGCTCTCGAGAGCAGAAAGATATCTGCAAAATGTCAAATTTAACTCCATTCTTAAGATATAGAAAGAGAGATTTCTGCCTTAACGACAGAAAAAAACAGCCCTCTACTTGTTTTTTTTTTTTTAAAGGAACTACATTAAAAATAGCAGTTTGCCATAAAGAGAAATGTTAACTGTAAGCGGTTTCTATTTACTAACCCTTTCTGCCAGGAGAAGTTTGGGAGAGCAAATCTTAGCACGGATCACGAAGTAATGAAACATCAGGCTATATATATCAGAAAGCAGCATCCCTATTCGAGGCTCAAAAGACTCCCAAGTTCAAACCATTTTTTTTCCTTTCCTATGCTTTAACACGAGCTAAAATCTCTTGTTAAATCATCCTAATTTAGGAGACTCCTAAGGGGGAGTAGCCTTTCATGGACATCTTGGCGTTGAAGAAGTATCTGCCCTGAAGACCGGTATTGAGCCACAGTTTTGCTGCAAACACCACATTTTATTTGCTGTCTTGGAAGGAAAAGGCAGAACAATCCTCTACAGCTCCACACACACACACCGTAGAGCGTGTTTGCAACATTAACCCTAACACAAGGGAATTAAACGTGGGTTTGGACGTCACCGACGTGGCCTATCCTTGCCGTTCCTTTTCTTCCACGCCTACGGAAGCCCGGGAAGCAGTTTCATCACTCGTAATCGCACGGAAATCTCCTCTCGAATCGCACGGCTGAGTACGTTAATGAACTTTGATACAGAGAAGTCAAACCTCTGACCTCGGCCCTGCGAGATAAGGGCTCGGAGGGATTTTCCGTCGCTCACTCGGCATTTTTGGCCCGTTCTAACTGCAATAAGTGAGCAGAGAACTAAGAACTTAAAATACAAGAGTGGAGGCCTCACCTTTGACTCTGCTACAAAAGAAAACCGCCCACAAGGAGCTTTAGAGCGCAGATATTTCCTATTTCCTCCTCAATGGCCTTTGGTGTAGGGGGAATGAATGGAGAGCACATTTTTCTGGGGAATTTCCCGGCCTTAAATGGAAGCAGCTACATGTGGTTAGGGAGCAACTAGCAAATCTCATAAAAAAAGTCAGTAGAAAGAGCTCAGTTCTGCACATCTTTGCTGAGCACTATTTTAATAGCTATTATCCTATTAATATCATCTAAAACATGAGGATGAGACAAATGTTATTTCGAAGGTGGGGGGAAAAAGGGGGGGAAAAAGGGTTATATAAACCATTCCTTTCCTCACTTGTACTTGAATTTATCAGATGCTTCGTGATAAACTCTGCTCTGCCTCCTGGTATAATTCTGTAACCCCGTTTGCTTTCCAAGAGCAAAAAAAGTATTTAATTCCATAAACACATAAATCTCCGGTCCGTTAATGTCAGTTAAATTCCTCACCCTGTCAGGCAGGGCCTGATTTACAGCCCCGAAACCCTGGAATTCAGACCTCTAAACCTTGCTGGTCTCTGATGGAAGTGTCTCTGCCCAAGTGTCCAGCCTGGGATTTACGACTAAGCTCTTCAAGCAGCAGGTCCGATGGGGGCAACCTGGTCAACCAGATCCGGATGCTCAATTGAAAAACAACTTCCAATCGGGATCACTATGGGGCTGAACCAACAGCCAGACTGGGCTGGATGGGGTGGCAAAGCTGTTCTTGCAGGGAACTTGCCAGCTTCCTTTTGCCAGAGGCAATTTCGATCCACGAAGCTGGGAAAGGGTGTGAGAAACAACAGCCTGGCAGAAGCAAACCCTCATTTTAGCCCATTTTGCCCTGCAAAAGTTGTTTGGAGCCTC